ACGCTTCATGCAGTTAATCAAGAGAGGAGTAATGTTGTCTATTGGTTAAAACTATTACCGGGGCAAGGCAGCTGGCGCTGCCGGCTGCGGCGTTCTTTGGCTTGCGGCCATTTTCCAAGGGTTCATGTGGGTGGCATATAGACATCTCTGCGCCGTACGAGTATTCTAGTCCTTCTCAATCTGAGAAATGAGCTTCTCTCTTCAGCACCAGATACTGGCCACTTGCAAGAAAAAATGCGCAATTTTATCTGGGAATCTAAATCGGGATAAGCGTCAATGGGAAATTGAGCACCGCTGACCGCAAGAAATACAGAAAAAAGTACAAAAATTAAAACTTTAGAGAAACAAACACATGTAAATATCATTCTCATATGTGTATGCTCGATTTTTAATTTAATCCCGGTTAAAAGACTTTACTTTTAAAAATGTTTCTGTACTTGCTCTATAATCGTCAAACGTAACTTTTCATACTCTTCAATTTTCTTTCGTCTCCATTGACTTTCTGAAACTTTCTTCAAAATTAATTATCGTAAACATCATTTCTGAACTTTTCTCAAAGTAATTTACACAATCTTATGTTATTTTTAAAAATTGAATAGGTCAGAGGCACTACAAAGTCAGGGCCAATGATAGCTTTGAGCTAAACTGCATCGAGTCCGATTCCTACGCATGACGATCGGGTCCCGTACTTACCAGAGCAGCAGCAATGATGGCTCTCTGAGCTCTCTCAACGATCGATTCCTTCCCGTGAGCAATCAGGTCAAGTCACACCAGACCGCGGCAATAATGGCTCAGAGCTTAAGCTAACGAGTCCATTCCTCGCTGTGAGGAATCAGGTCAGAGGCCACTACAAAAGAAACTGAATGATGGTTAGTCCGTGAGCTATACTCAGTGAGTCGATCCTTCGGATGAGGACATCAACGTCAGAGTCACTATAGACAGAGGCAATGATGGGTCGAGCTAACCTCAACGAGTCGATTCCTCCGCATAGGAATCAGGTCAGATTAACTACAGAGACAGAGGAAATGAATGGCTCTGAGCTAACTCAGCGACTCGATTCCCTCTGCGTGAGGAATCAGGTCAGTCACACCAAAACAGGACAGCGACAATTTGAGGCTCTGAGCTAAACTCAGCTACTCGATTCCTCCGCGGTGAGGAATCGGTCACAGTCACCACAGAGAGAGTAGGCAATGAGGCTCTGAGCTAAACTCAGCGAGTCGATTCTCGCGTTGGGAGCGTTGAGAGCACCTGGAGTCGGCGGAGGCGCGCCCGCGGTGGGCCTCCTGGCAGCGACGTCGGCGGTGAGCGGGGCGGACGGGCAACGGGGCGCGGTGGCCGGTGGCGTTTGGGCGTGCGGTGGGCGTGGTCTGGGCGTGGCTGGGGCGGGAGCGGGGGCGGGGGCGGCGCTGCGCGAAGGGGCCGGGGCCGCGCCGGCGTCGCCGTCGTGCGAGCGCAGCGCCGTCAGGCTGCGCACGGCAGGCGCGGGCCGCGCGCGACGAACGCCCCGACCGCGTCAGCCGGCGCCCAGCGACGACGCGGCCTTCCGGGCCGCCGCCGCCGACAGCGCCTGCGCACACGCGACAGCGGCAGAATGCGACCCAAACCGCCCACGCTGGCCCTTTGATTTGCTCGCGTGCCTTGCGTCTTTTAATAAACTACACCCGCCGACTATACTCCGATTTACACTTCCAATTATTTTAACATGGCATCTCAAGGTCACTCACGAAAAAGGGAGAGGGAAGGCAGACTCCAATAGGGAGCTGCAACATCACTGAACCCTATTGGAGTCTGCCTTCCCTCTCACTTTTTCGTGCATGACCTTGAGACGACACGTTAAAAAAATCTCAGTTATTAGTGATACTCCAAGGCCAGGAGCTGGAAGGTGAAGGGGACATTGTTATGCAAACACGAACTTCAATTCCAAAAATGTAAGCCGCATTTCCCAATTGCCAGACAGTGGCCTCTCTCCTTCCATCTCCCGATTTTGAAGTACCACAATGTTTAAATCGAAATATATTTTTTGACCGCCTCTTCCCTCCCCGACGAGCACTCTCGGCGTATACGAGGCCCGCAGAGAAGCGCTGGGTCAGTCCAAGCCAATGTGTTCAACATTGAGGGCGTAGGACTCTGCGGCATGAGTCAGTTACTACGTGTCTGCGTGGAGACGCCGCGTCCTAGGCACAGTTACCAAAGGTTACGGCCGCCGTTCGGCGACCTTCCTCGGGGCTAAAAGCGCCGAGGTGTTACCCGAACAGCCCCAGTCCTCTATTGTTTCGTATAATCTACGCTCTATTTAAATGAGAATCCTGCAAACTAAACTAATAGAATGAGGAATTCGACCCCAAAACTTTAATTCTCGCGTGTACAATATCCTGTCTTAGTAATTTGACACAAAGACAGAAGTATGATTTCTCTTGAAGTCTCAAAACATTTTTAGACAAGCGGGCTTTTTAGACAAGCGGGCAATTTGTAGACAGGCAGCTCAGAGACGAACCTAGTCTCCCGTATTGCGCATGACCACAGTGATAAACCTGCACGCCTTCGGCAGTGGTCCAAAGGCGTGGAATGCGTGAGCTAGAAGATGCTCAAATTTTAAAGCAAATTTTTCCATTGCAGTACGTTATCCGTTTCATCATGTGTTACATGTCCAAAATGAACGTCAAACGAAAGAAAATTAAAGTAATAACTTTTCGACGAGAGAAATATTTTAATGATATAGCACTTTCGCATGCAAAAGAAATAATTAATTTCATCGTACACTCATATTTAAAAGGATGTTACAATTTTTTTTTGCGAAAAGATTAACAATACTCAGTATAGTCGAAAGCTATATATTGTAATGTATATTACAATATATAAACGAAAACTTTCTTTGATTAATTGACAATCTCCTGTCACTGAGTGAGTGATTACTGTATTGCAAGAAGGTTTTTAATACTCCATCAGACTAATCGCATCGAAGGAAGTGCCAATTATCCGAAAGCTCCACTCCATACTCTCAGTATCAGCCATACAGCATGGTAGCTCAGCAGTTGAAGAAATATGCCATGCTTATTTACCTAAACCGACATGAGTGTAATGTTCTTTGATGAAACCCAGTATACACATATTTGTTTTGCATTATAACAAATATTATCTAGAATTTACGTTTAGTTCAACACATCAACAAATTATTTTTCAGAACCTATTAAAGAAACGTTCATGAAATTATTATGATATTTAGATATGAATGCTTTTTTTACATTTCAAAATAAAACTTGATTTTTTAAAAAAATATTAATGTTATGTATGTATTTAAACTTTTTGGGCCGCATTAATCCGACAGTTACCAGCTAACTGTGTTCCCAATCTGGGCTCTTTTTTTGTATTTATTATCCACCTCTGAGGGTAGGAAGACATTGCGAACATGTCGTATTCCCATCACTTTACTTGGCGTAGCTGAGCTTTTCTTTCGCCACACAGTTACAAAAACTAATGTGACTGTAATAGAAAGCTACAGTTCTACTTTTCCTCAAAAGGGAATCGAACCCGGGATTGTAGCACAAAATTCTAGCACAATAACCAGAAGCCACCCCAGGGGTACCATTAATTTTAAATTTACTAATTCAAAAATAATTTACTTCTCAGTAGTTTATATACTTGATTTTTGACTAATTAAATACTTCTAATATTCAAAAGCAGGAATAAACAATTGAATTTTATGATCGACACACAACAAACAAATGAGTTTGCGTTGCGCTGAGTTGCGAAGCGCCCTTGTGGCGACCCCTTCAATAATACTCGTAAATGTGAACCGAGTGACGAACATTTTTATGAACTGGTAAAGCTATTTCTAAAAATTGATATTTGATTGAAAACTGGCGTCTTTTAACAAGGAAGATCTAAATAAATTTTAATTGCGTTTATCAATATATGATATCTAACAAAATAACGATGTTTCACATCTTACAAATTACCATCAACTCATTACAAATTCTAGAAACCATAATTTTTAGGTTTAGAACAACTCGGAATAGAACAACTTTATCGTAGACTAACTGCTCAAGAAACCATCTTTTACGTTATTATATATGCACATTTTGGAATATTTGAGTGAATTTGTTGTAGGTAATTCGCAATTGGAAAATTCTTCCTATTTACTCTGGCACTTAATACATTTTATTCGTCTTCTCCGTAGCTATAAAATCGTGCGAAACCTTGCAGTATTAACACAAGATTCATCATCATTGCATTAAGAAAATCTCTAGCACCTTCAAACAACGACGTCTCCGTTTTATACTTGTTTTGAAAAAATAAAACTTTCAAAACACCTGACTCTCATGCTTCCAAATTTTCTGTTCCCATGATACTACGATTCTATCATTAGAAAAATTATTAGTATTATTCTAAATAGAAGAAACTATTGATCAATTAATATTTTAAGCACGTTCTTGTTCATGTAAGAAATCTTTAAAAATTGTTTTAAATCTCAACTAATATTATTAGTAAAAGTAAAATGAAAGTAATATTATTACAACAGATTCTTCAATACGATGGGGTGAATTCGGAGGTAATCAAAAAGTTGTCTATAGAAGAAATTTTAATTTTTCAAAGTAGGATAATCACATATAAAATATATATATTTTAGACAGCCTCAAGTAAAAGCGGTGCTTTCAGAATATGCATAGCGTGCTACACGTTCGATTTTTTGTAGTATACGATTCTAGAGTAAGCAGACGAGATCAAATCTGTGAGTACAACAAAGAAAACACAGTAATTTCGTCTGAGCTCATCATTTACTACTAACCTTAACGTACCATTAAGTGATTTGTATACTTTAATAAATATAAACAAACTCGGTAAGACTGTTTAATAAATAGTGTTTGAGATACGTAGTATAAGTGATTTTATTTTGCCCACAATCTTTCCTACTCGCAAAGTATGTCACTTTCACCATCCGAATCATAAATAATTATTTTAGAGACTGATTGAACTTCCACTACTGGGAAAATAGCACTTACTGTGGCAGAAGCGCGGAGAGATTCATTGCCGATGTCCAAGTCTTCCCAAGGTGATCGCGGTATGGCGACTCCTGCAGGGGAAGTGGCCATGAGAGATTTTCTTTGCGACAGACCCCGCGCATTAGGTTTTAGAGATATTTTTACGAACTAGAGGAAATATTTCTGAACTACGGAATTACTACATTACATTAAAATAACTTTATAATTATTTTACTGAAGATTTCAACTTTCTCACATTCATAGATAATGGATGAACTCTACTGATACCTGTCAATCGACATTGTAGCTTACATTAAATGCAGAGAAAAGTATAAAGTAATGAGCACAAGTCTTGATAATGTCTTCAAAAGTGCTCTCTTGTAGTGTAAGTGGTTTATCTCAAACGAATGTTGCCGAGTTATCAAAACAGATGCGAAGAAATAGGTTTTCGTTGATTATTACTTCTTCAAACAAATCTTGTAAAAGATTTGCTACGTGGAAACAATTTAGCCCTTAATATCACAAATGAAATCATTGCAAAATTTAACGAAGTCGAATTAGTCAAAACATAATTTGGTGAATTTTGATTACAACATAATCGGGTAAACCTCAAGCCACTAGCATATTATTACACTGAATTAAGACAACAGTGGATGCAGTTTGTACTTTGAGTTTATGGTGTTCTAAAACAGTTTCGAAGTAGTGGTTGTGTATGAAGTCACACAATGGAAAACACGCCGGATGATAATACTTTAGGTACACTCGCACATCGTGTTTCTCCAGACCCGCAGAATGCCATTCTGCTCTTCTCGAGCACTGTCACAGTAAGTATCTTATTTTGAATCAAGAAGACATACGGGAACAGACCACCTGCAATGATATTTTCGTGCCAAATTTAACATTTGAAAGCCACTCACCTGGTTCCACATGACTCATAATCAGAGGTTTTCTTGGCCTGCCCTTATTTCGAGTAACAGGATTCGCCATTGTGCAGCCATCAAGTCACCCAAATAAAAAGATGACTGTCACAGTAGTTGCCACAACACTGAAGAAACTGCAGCAAGCGCCGCCGAGGTAACGCTAGGCACTTCACAAATTTAAACTTGGGAAACGTTGCTACCAGTCTAGCAGCTTCCTGTTGCGGTGTTAACACTTCAGACGATTCTCCAGTCCTCGCCGAAGTGTTAACACTAGGCACAAACCCAACGTAATGGAGAATATGTCGGACTCCCCGAGACTTCAGGTCTTATCGATCTCTCTCAGCTTATCGATTTAAAATCGACCAAAGGTCGCTTCCATTCAAGCGTGAAATAAACTATTGGTCTCTAGACGACATTCTTTACCTGCATAACTTGCACAATACATCATAATACTTCCCTTACCTGATTCGCAAGTTTGTGTACGATGGGTAAGTTTTCAAGGCTGTAAATAGATAAAAACATACAACGTTCAAGTAAAACTGTTCGACCTAAACCAAAAGACCAGGGTTCGATTTCCGTTCGACACAAAAATAATTGAACAATTTAATCTTCACACACAACCAAGACGCAACTACAAAACTACTTTTGTAGAATAGACACGTTTAAAATGTCTATTTGTTAATGTGTTCTCTCTCTCTCTACATACTGGCAAAACAACATTTACCTAACTACTCCCATTGACACTATATTGCATTTGTATTGCTACTCCTCCTCAATTAATATGATTGTTTTAGCTGAGTCACAAGCGATCAGGCAGGGTAAACGAGTTAAAATTGCTATTTTTCTACTTTTTCAACAAATTTATTTTTATACAATGAAACGCAATTTTAAAAAATTAATTGTTAAGTCGTACCAAAATAAAGATGCAGCCAAACAAATTACACAAAAACTGGAATATAATCAGAATTCTAAATATAACTATTACAGGACAAATGGTACTCATCAGAATAAAAATAATCATAAAAATCCTCGTAAAATGTGGAATATTGTTAGAAGCAAATATGCTTCGCAAATTTCGAATTTGTCGGAAATGGACATTTTAATCATCAGCTAATTCATTTTGACTGATTTCTTTGTGGATCGTGTTATTTGTGGACTGAAGCTCACAGTATGCCCCTCACTCTGTTTGTAGTTGGATTTTACACTGAAAAAGGTCGTGAACACTGTGACATGCGAACTGATCAGAGAATTCGAATGACCATGACATAAACAACACAATCGTCGTTAATATTAGTTTACACCCTTCAATTAAACAACGACACATAACAAATGTGAATTCACAGTTACACCATTGATCTGCGGATCTGTTGATATATTCCGCTCCTCTAAGTATCTGTTGTGTAACAGTCCGAAGCCACCGAGAAAAAACACCTAGGAAAGGCACTATGGTAAAACTCATGGAGACGATATTCTTGTAGAGGAAAGCAAATATGGCAATGTTTCGCCTTCCACGCGGCACAATTTTTTTAACTTGTCAAAAAACGCTGTGCTCTAGAAGCACGGCCACTAAGCTGGTTCATGTTTTATATAGCTCATTAGTTAGCCAAAGTATGAAAGACATAATACCACATTTCACCAATGCCCCATAAAACTATTGTTTCCACAATGAATTCAGAGTCTGAATAAACTTGCCATACTGTTTCTCCGAATACCAGCCATACTCGTGCAAGGATGTCATTCATTTCCTCCAATCCGGTGTAGAACGCAATGGAAGAGTATGTTCCAAATATATCTCCTCTAAACGTGTTTCGCATGACATAGCTAACTGAACGTCTGACTTCCGACCAGAAACGCCGCATTGCCTGAGGCCGACTTGTGCCAAATGTAGGTGTATTAGGTTTTCGAGGAAGTTTTATGATATACCTACCGTCAGGATCGCGGGTGGTGGTTTCTCAAACGAAATCTTCGCAATGGTCATTTTCTGGAGTAGGATGCTTTGATCCAGGCAATTCCTCTAATTGCCAAAATTTGCTTAATTCGAACTGTGTTGATTTCAAACCTTCGCGATTAGACGATAGAAATGTCGTGTAAGAACTCTTAGTTTGCCTTGACTCTTATAAACATGGTAGACAACCAGCTATTAACTAACCTAACAACGTGTTCTGCATGACGGGTTTGTCAGGTCCAAATGAAACATTTCCCGTAGCGACTACTGAGTAGAATATTTCCGAACATAAAAATAAATCAATGGACTTAGCGTTAGCGAAATGCGGGTGTGCCAGAGTCGTACTTGGAATGTTCCAATTGGTGAGATCTAAATCTACCGATCGTACTTGAGAACGAATTTGTGGAATAACGTAAGCACCTACGTTGGTGCACCAATTCGGGGCCCCGGCTCCAACTTCAAGTAATACCTCACGAGCAGCTCGCGTCTGATAAGCTGCTACAGCACAAATATTTGTAGAGGCATCAACATTTTTGAAGTCGTTCAACTAAGGACTGAGTGACTAAATTACAATTGGATCCGGAGTCTATAATTGCTGTGCATTGCACGTAAGATCCGTCGTTATTAAAGTGAACTGCCGCGGTGGCTAGAAGGTATCGTGAAGTATGAACTGCAGGCAAATGACAAAACTATATCTTAGAAGAATCCTGCGACTGTACCTGAGCTTCAACGTATTCCGAGATTCCAGCTGAGAGCGTAGTTCTCGCGATGTTCGTGCCAGAACACAGGTTAGCATTTGCTGACATCACGTTTAATTGCGTTTGAGGCTTACTTGGGTTTTTATCACCTAAATGTAGTAACATATGATGACGTTTGTCCCACGACACGCCCCCTTTGAACAAGTATGACCAGAACTATAAGATTTTAGACAATGTCAACATAACTTCTTGTCATTAACTACTGCTATCATTTTCTGCGGACTCATTTTGTTAAAATATGCACACAAATAAATTGTATGTGTGCCAGAACAACAAACGCAGTTTCTAACACCCTGTTTTGAAATTGGACGAGATAAAGAAGATCTTTGCTTGATATAAACTTCGTTAATTACTTTATTGATGTTAACTAAATCAAAGATTTTACATCTTTTTTTCAATAAATGTGGTTATATCCTTAAGCGAGGGCATTTTATCAGTGATAGATGAACCTTCCGAATTACACAAAATTAACAACAGCTGAGAAATCAGCAATTCATCAAGCATTGCATCATTCTGAACTACCTTCAGTGCATTGTAATTAGACACAAAATAATCTAACATAGTTCTTAAAGACTGAGGTGATTCTGCTTGTAATTCAGGCGGTTTCAGAAGTATTTCAAGTAACTAGATATTATCAATCGTATCTCGTACAATGCAAGTTCCAGACTACATGAAAATTGAGAGTTGATGCCGGTAGACTACGCAACAATGCAAGAGATTCTCCTTCAAGAGTAGTATTTAGGGAATGAAACCTTTTGACAACCTCTAAAGTGGAATTTTTTATAATCAGAACCGTAAAAAATTCCTTAAAGTTGGTCCAATTTGCAATATACCTATTGAATTTAGGAACAGAGACTTCAGGTAACCTGACTGATTGTTGTGTTTGTGGATTTGAGAAAGGTGATTACACATGATGTTTATTGCTATTGGAATTCCGATCGACCGAAATTTGATAGTAGTAGTGATTGTTCTCACTGAGAATGATCTGAATCCGAGATAGGAGTGTGACGTACTCTTTCTTAATATTTTCGTATTCTTTAAGTCAGAACCAGAAAATGCAAATTGCACGTATACGTCAACAAATCATTCATGAATATTAGTGAGGCAAGTCCGATTTTCTATTAATACGTGATAGGATAGCCTTTCTTTGATTTCATAACTACGCAATGCGTCCATAGCGAATATTAATACTTTTTTAAATATTTCTTAGATGCTCTTGTTGAGTGGTTTCGTGGCCTATTGGGAAATTTAATTTTCGCTTTTGATTTTTGATTTTTAAAAAAGCACAACAAAACTGTAAATAGTAAAACAATTTGAAGTTGCTATCACCTACAAATTTTTTTTTACAAATATCACCCCATTTGGGAGGGCTGTATTTTTTGTCTCAATGTTAATCCGGCTCGTGCATTTTTTATGCAATTGCACCCAAGGGTCTCTTGCAGAACAATTGTACTCAGCACAGGTTTAATCATATGGAAACGCAGTGCGATGTTAAAAGTGTCTGCGCTGGTCAAAATGGAATCGTTCTGAAATATCCGTCATCAGTTGGGCCCTGAGAACGACCTCATCAGCTCGCAGCCTCCCTCGTGGTTGGTTCACACCACGACTGAATAGCCACAGCGGCAAAATATCAAATAAAAACACATCACCAAAATCATGGTTCCACATCGGTACAGTAAATCTGTTGTAAGTAAATAAGTTATTGAGAGCAGTTTTTCTATCCTTCAACTACAATAACTGAAAACGAATAAATCCTCATTAAATTTACAAAATTTTTAAAAGCATTATCAAATGTTTATAATATTTCAACGTTAAATATCGTTCTCGTATCTCTTACTGTTTATATCAATTACAGTTAGAGAATTTGATCTCTGATATTATCTACGTCTCTCAGTCTCTGAAATCTATAACAGTTGTTTACTAGAAAGAACTGCGTTTATTACAATGTTATTACTTCGTCTTTTAATGAAAGAATGCAGAATTAGGTATTAACTTATTTAATAACTTAATTATTTAATGTAACCACATTTATAAACGCTCAAATTGCATATTGCATTATTAGATTTATATTTATTCGCCCTATAAAATAACAAATATTTCTGTAAGCGAAAATTAAACTGGGTAATAATCTAGGAAGTTTTCCTATGCATAATAACAAGTGAAACTGAAATAGTACTAAATAAAAACTTAATTATTCTGGCACGCTCAGCGTGCAAAGAGAAAAACACGATTGTCTATTGTCACTCTTATTTTACATTAAAGTACCATGTGCCCCAGCCACATGTGTCAGAAAAGTGAAATATTATTTCCGAAAACACATGATTGCGAGATAAATAAGATGAAGCGTTTTGAAATGTTTAGGACTCTTGATTTCCTCTTAATAATCCAAATTCGGTTTTTTTCTACCAAAAGATTTTAAAAATATGTACATGACCTTATTGAAATATCTATTTATGGACAACAATTTTATTTGAAGGTATATTCTCAATCTTCAAT